CTAGTCAAATGCCTGATTCCAGAGCCAGGTCTTCAGTTGTCTTCTAAAGGACAAGAGGGAGGTGGCCAACTTGATGTCCTTAGGGAGGGAGTTCCACAGACGGGGGGCCACTGTTGAAAAGGCCCTGTCTCTCATCCCCACCAACCGCATTTGCGAAGGTGGTGGGATTGTGAGCAGGGCCTCTCCTGATGATCTTAAGCTTCGTGATGGTTCATAGCAGGAGATACATTAGGACAGGTAATCTGGGCATTGCAAATTGAATTGACTTTAGGGTACTAAATGGAGCTATAACCCTGAGTTACGTTCATAGATTCCCCACCCTGAATTCAGGGTGAACATTGAGAGATCCTCCTGCTTTCCTTTTTGATCATTGCATGCCAACTTACCAAGGCATGAAAGAAGTCAAGGGTGAGTGATGCACTGATGGATTGGTTGACTGAAGATGTTCCAGAAATGGTTGATTTTGTTCCTTCTTCAGCTGACAAACCTCAAGAGTTACCTCTTAGGTTTGTGGATTGGTGGTGATGATGCATATATACTTGAAACAACAAAAAAGCATGAAACCTAAAGAAATAAATAGTGCAAGAGGTCTTCAGTTGAAAGAAAAGAGGAACTGATGATGCTGGCAACGCAAGCTAATAAAAACAGATGTCATTTGGGATCAAGTTGTTCTCCACCATGATTCTGTCTCAAACAAAATGATGCCTGTTGGATCACAAGTTGATACTATGGTGAATGGGAGAGAGACACAGCAGACTCTTGGGAGGATTATTGAGATGAAGTGCTGAGAAAAGTCCATAGATTAAAGGCCAAGAGGAGTAGAAGAAGCCATTTGATAGCTTCATCCAGTCACCTGAAGATTTTGGCAACATTTCTTGTTGGGATTGGAAGCAAGTGCTATTTTCTGCTTTAGTGGGAATGATGAATCTGTTCAGTGTTTCAGTCTGAACTTTAAAGGACCCATCCCGAGTGTTGAATCTATCCCACCAACTGCTACAATTGTGTTGATCACATGTCAATCTCCAGCCCTGTGGGCCAAATCTGGCCTTCCATGTCATGTTATGTGGCTCTCCAGAAACTGGACTTCAACTCCTGTGTTCCTCATCATTAGATATCATGACTAGAACTGATGGGAGTTGTGATACAGTAACATCTGGAAGGCTGAAGCTTGTTCTGTTTAGTCAGGATAGTGGAGTTTGAGTTTAGATACAAGGTGGATATGATCTCCGAAGTTAACTTCTCCCCAGCCTCAGAGCCACAAGTGCTGCTCGGTTGTAATTCCCAATTTCCCCAGGCTGCATGGCAGATAATCAAAAATGATGGGAGTTGTCATTCAATAACATCTGGGGACCCAAAGTGAGTAAAAAATAAAGAGCACCAACCACTATGAAAAAAAAATTATAACCATCTGCATCCACAGATTTTCCATCCATGGATTCAACGGCACTCTGAAGACAACCATAAGGCTGATGTGGCCCTCAATGAAAATGCCCCTGGTGTACAAAATCTGTCAGTGGGGAAAGTACAGCCCTCCAGATGTTGTTGGATTGCAACTCCCAACAATCTCACCACTGACAGGGGCAGCTAGGACTTGCAGTCCAACAACTTTTGGGAAGGGATACTTTGCCTGTCCTTACTCTACATCTGCCTATGGCTAACACTTTGTTTTCAGTAGTTTGTGAAACAGTAGAAAATGGAATGTTTCTTCCAAGCTTTGCTTATGGGCTTCCCAGAGCCATCTAATGGGCCACTGTAAGAAGATGCTAGTCCAAATGGGCTTATTTGGTCTTCTTCAGCAGGACTTGTCTTCATCATTGAGATCTTACACCAGTATCTTTGTTGTGACCTGTACATAAACTTTGAAACAGATGGTGAGCATGGTGATAGTGTATACTGAACATGTAAATGCGATTAGCACATATGAAAACAATTGCCTATCACAAAGATGCCAAAATGAAATATAGTATTGCTAATCTAGGATTAGGGAGCCTGCAGGCATTGCTGTGGAACACTAGACGTTATTGCAGTCTAGGTGATGACAACCTTTTCTCAGCACAAATTTTAATAAGGTTACTTGCTAATAAATATGAGGTGATGAATTGTATGGGCTGTGGTGCATATACCGTACCTTATCTCTTGTGTCATGTTTGGCTTCCCCTGACTGCAACTACGATTATGCTTTAATTCATCTGAGCAAGCACGCAATGTGAAGCAGATGGTTTCTTGGGATGGCAGAATGCTTTTGCCTAAAACAACCTGGGAAATATAAATCTACATATGGCTCCTCCGGAGATCTTGTGTTGCAACCATACATGTATTTCCAGTCATAGCCAATCAGCTTGCACTCATTTTGTCACATTTTCTAGAAAGTCAAAAAGATACTGTTTATTGATAAGATGGTTCTCATAGCGTAGTCAGGCCACATGTAGGCTTATCATTTAGAGATACAGGAAAACAAATGCTAGGAAATGGCCTTTGAAATGCACTTCTCTTCCATACATTTGTAGGAATACAATGGATTGCAAGAATGGTTACTGCAGACCACTAAACCTAAAATGATTGGTTGCTTATGCTATGGATTTAAAAGCCACATATCAAAAGGTGAATGGAGGGGTGAGGCTGGAAAGGTCATCCAAATGGGTTCAATCATGCAATGCAAAATTTAGCAATACTTCAATCTTTTGGAATTGCCAGTTAAATGCTACTGGATGCACTGGATCCATAACCCTGAATAAAGTTCATTTGGAAGTAGATTGTCAAGCGGTTCTTTCAATAATAATTGGGATGTGCCTTTTGCTGTTTATTTGGGCATGCCTCTTTCATTCATGAACTTTTCTGGAAATGACTGGCATTGAAAAACTATCAGATATGTACATTAAGTCCTCCATATTTGCAGGTTTGACATCTACAGATTTGATTAATATGTTCTCTAGGAGTCACTAGGTCCTCCAGTGCAACTTGCAGTCAATTTTCACCAGAAAATGTACAGAGCCACGCTGGAAGACTTTGAGATTCCTAGAAAGAATATCCATCTTCCAGTGTGATTCTATGGTTAACTTATTTGGGGGTTTTCTCTATTGCTGAACATTGCGTGATTGCATGTACTTGCTTAGTCACTTAGAAAACACTCTGTACATGCTCTTGAGTTATCAAATCAGTGCACATTTCTCAACAAGCCTCCCTTATTTTGTAGTATTATTTTTCAGCTTTTATTATTTTACTGCATTGATTTTTGGTTTTCTGAAACACTAAGCAAGAGACTAGGTTTGGAAAAGAGTATGACTCTAAGAACATATAAAGGTTTCCCCTGACATTAAATCTAGTCGGTCCTGACTCGGGGGGGGGGGGGGGGGGGGGGGGGGTTGGTCATCTCCATTTCTAAGCCGAAGTGCTGCCATTGTCCATAGATGCCTCCAAGGTCACATGGCCGGCATGACTGCATGGAGTTCCATTACCTTCCCACCTAAGTGGTACTTATTGATCTACTCACATTTGCATGTTTTCAAACTGCTAGGTTGGCAGAAGCTGGGGCTAACAGCAGGAGCTTACCCTGCTTCCCGGATTTGAACCATCAACCTTTTGGTCAGCAAGTTCAGCAGCTCAATGGTTTAACCCACTGCACTAAGAACATAATTTCTCAAAACCACTTTTGAAAGGTAAATGTGCTTTGTCTTCTAGGAGTGGATAAGGAGTTTAACCAGCATGGCTTTCTAAAAGCTTCATAAGCATACAATTAAGAACTCGAGAGAGTAAAAGAATTTAAATGTAAGAGCAAACAGAATCACCCAGGCAGCCATAATAGTTGCATGCATAGCTCTTCAATCTTTTGATCCTTATCTATTTGGTCATGTTTGTGATACTAAATCAAGGTTCATCCTGCCTTTTCTCACTGTCTCCTCACCTTTAGCATCTGCACAGCAGACAAGTACATGATCTTCTAGATGCTGATAATAGCTGTATCCTTTTGAATGTATCCAGTTCCAAATGATTGAAAATTCTAGTCAGTTTGTTTTTGTTCCGTTTACCAACACACAACAAATTTCTTTCCAAGTTTACCAGACAAAACGTGACACATTTTAAATGTCCCAAACTAACAGATTCCAATCTGTCGCATACTTTTCAGCATCTGGCCTTCTTTATGGCCTACTTAATGCATAAATAGGAGTCTAGTGTCTAGATCCAGCAAAGTCATGCTACTCCTCTATTCTGTTCTGCTCTGGTTAGACCACACCTGGAATATTGTGTCCAATTCTGGGCACCACAATTCAAGAGAGATATTGACAAGCTGGAATGTGTCCAGAGGAGGGCGACTAAAATGATCAAGGGTCTGGAGAACAAGCCCTATGAGGAGCGGCTTAAGGAGCTGGGCATGTTTAGCCTGAAGAAGAGAAGGATGAGAGGAGACATGATAGCCATGTATACATATGTGAGAGGAAGCCACAGGGAGGAGGGAGCAAGCTTGTTTTCTGCTTCCTTGGAGACTAGGACGCGGAACAATGGCTTCAAACTACAAGAGAGGAGATTCCATCTGAACATGAGGAAGAACTCTGACTGTGAGAGCTGTTCAGCAGTGGAACTCTCTGCCCGGAGTGTGGTGGAGGCTCCTTCCTTTGAGGCTTTTAACCAGAGGATCTATCGGGGTGCTTTGAATGTGAATTTTCCTGCTTCTTGGCAGGGGGTTGGACTGGATGGCCCACAAAGTCTCTTCCAACTCAATGATTCTATGATATGTTTGCAGTCTTCTAAAGACAGCTGAAACTAGCAAGAAGTTGAACTCTGAGTCCTATAGCATGTTCTCCACCATTTCAACTACACACTTGGAGGAATTAGATCACAGAGTTGTTCTGGAGGACCTTTTTTCTCTCTCGGGTGAAAAAATAGCACTTTTCCTATTTTTCTGCAGTGTTCCTAAGCCTTAACCACAGTGAATGTAGAAGCTCCGCTGTAAGTGAACCTAACTGTGCCTCACAGGAATGAGATATAATGGAAAAACCAAAAGATAGAAGGCCAACATTATTTCTAAGCAGCCAAGCATGAAAATGATACTGCAAAAGACCGTAATAAAATCAATCAAGTCATATAAACAAGACATCGATCTTTTCAAGATATTTTTGCATAGCATGATAAGACAAAGGAAGAGATATTTTGGGGCATCGCATTTCATAACAAAAGAACCTACCCCATTTAACATTATCAGATCGATTTAGCAATTGATAGTTTCCTTTTCCCCCCTTTTATTCAAAAGGCAGATGGAATGTGGAATTGACAGGTTTGTATCCGTGATTATGCAAAACGCGAGAAATAGTCCTGAAAAATAAAATTATCCACAAGATTAAAGGGACTTTTCTAAGGCCACAAAAGGGTTGTGAAATGCCAAGAACGGGCCTCAAAGGGCAAGAGTGCTCTCAAGACAATTAACAATTGAGTGGAGGACTGTGAGCAGCTTTACAAAATTATATTTCATCTACAACAAGCTCTAGTATTATATAACCCAGGGATGCCATTTCACAGAGCACTTCTGTGGACCTTCCTCGGGAGCTTGTTTTAATAGCAGCACGCTTGCAAAAACCTTTGTTTAACAACCTGCTGTTTACTTTTGAAAGGTTGTTCTGCGAACAGGGATGAGACACTGGGATATCTGGTGAACTCATTCAGAAGAATGGGCAAGAAATGCTCGAGGAAAGATAGAGATCTCTTGAACTGGTGGTAGGCTACTTCTTAAGAAATAGTGACTAGGAACCTTTCGCTTTCATTCATGAATCAATGAAGGAAGGAAATATTTGGAGCATGATCTGGCTAGTGCATTTCACTATTAGCTGTTTTGGGCTAATAAGGAAAAATGTGTTGTCAAAGGCTTTCATGGCCGGAATCACTGGGTCACTGTGAATTTTCCAGGCTGTATGGCCATGTTCCAGAAGCATTCTCTCCTGATGTTTCACCCACATCTATGGCAGGCATTCTCAGAGGTTGTGAGGTCTGTTGGATACAGCATATTATTTGAGAACACAGAAATGCTGGACCACTCTAACAACTGCCATGTCAGACTACACTGAGAAGCCATTGAAATGGTATATTGGAAACTAAGCAAGGAAGACTTATATATCTGTGGAAGGTCCAGGGTGGGAGAGAGAACTATTGTCTGTTGGAGGCAAGTGTGAATGTTGCAATTAATCACCTTGATTAGAATTGCAAAGCCTTGCAGCTTCAAGGTTTGGCTGCTTTCTGCCTGAGGGAATCCTTTGTTGGTAGGTGTTCGCTGGCCCTGATTGTTTCATGTCTGGAATGCCCCTGTTTTCAGTGTGTTGTTCTTTATTTACTGTTCTAATTTTAGAAAACAGAAAAAGCAAACCATTAAAATGAACAAAATCTAGCTACCAGTATTTAAAAAACTCTAAAATTCAGACAGTAAATAAAGAACAACACTCTGAAAACAGGGGAATTCCAGACATAAAACAATCAGGGCCAGCTTTTCTCCCAGGCAGGATTCAGCCAGACCTTGAGCCTGCAAGGCTTTGCAATGCTACTGAACATGAGGAAGAATTTCCTGACTGTGACTGAACATGAGGAAGAACTTCCTGACTGTGAGAGCCGTTCAGCAGTGGAACTCTCTGCCCCGGAGTATGATGGAGGCTCCTTCTTTGGAAGCTTTTAAACAGAGGCTGGATGGCCATCTGTCAGGGGTGATTTGAATGCAATATTACTGCTTCTTGGCAGGGGGTTGGACTGGATGGTCCATGAGGTCTCTTCCAACTCTTTGATTCTATGACTCTATAATCAAGGTGATTAATTGCAACATTCACACTCACCTCCCAGCAAACATGAGTTCTCTCTCCCACCCTGGGCATGCCACAGATATATAAACCTCTCTTGCTTAGTTTCCAATATATCTCACAAACTCTGAGGATGCCTGCCATAGATGTGGGCAAAATGTCAGGAGAGAATGCCATACAGCCCAGAAAACTCATTGCAACATGCTAATGGGGAAAATTTAGGAATCTTTTATCAGACCAACACATACATATGATAACTGCATACAGTAACCGTTCCCAAACACTTCCCTCCTAGTAATTCTGCACCACAGTTCTCGGTTAACCGCAATTGTGTGGACATGGAGAAAACCAAAGCAATAACGTGACCCAAACAGCAATGGAGAGTGCTATAATCCATAGAGGCTGCAGTTGTAAGAACACTTAGAAAGCTCGTCCCAATGAAAGTTTACACATAAGGACTATTTTTTTTAGAATGGAGAAAATTCATGTTGGCAACACAATGTTGTTTGCACATCACATAATGCTATATACAGACACAGGGATGTTTCAAATATATTAGTATCTCTTCATAGATCTCTGCGCTTGAGTTGTGCAAGGCAATCCCATCTTCTTTTACGATTCTCGTTTCAGTAGTACGTAGGCGCCCATTACTGCCAGGAGAGCGTACTGTAAAGGAAGCAAGCTGGTTACTACTGTGCAGATATATGCTGTTGTCTTCATAGACACACACAGAGACAGCTTTCCATGCATTGGGTACTATTAAACTGTATACAGTCTGCCCTCCTCATTTGTAGGGATTTGACTTTTATGGGATTTGATCAAAACATTCTGTCTAAAGAACTCTAGGTCAGTGTTTCTCAACCTTCCTAATGACGCGACACCTGAATACAGTTCCTCATGTTGTTATAACCATAAAGTTATTTTCATTGCTAATTCATAATTGTAATCTTGCTACAGTTACGAATTGTAATGTAAGTATCTGATACGCAGGGTGTATTTTTATTCGCTGGATCAAATTTGGCAGAAACACCCAATACATCCAAAATGGAATACTGGTGAGGTTGGGAGGGGGGACTGATTTTGTCATTTGGGAGTTGTAGTTGCTCCGATTTATAGTTCACCTACAATCAAAGAGCATTCTGAACTCCACCAACGATGGAATTGAACCAAACTTGACAAACAGAACTCCCACGAGCATCGTAAAATACCGGAAGGGTTTGGTGGGCATTGACCTTGCGTTTTGGAGTTATAGAACAGAAAACAGAATTTTGGAAGACAGGAAGAGAGATTTAAAGATGGGCTCAAAGCCAACCTTAAAATCTCTGGCATAGACATTGAGAACTGGGAAGCCCTGGCTCTTGAGTGCTCCAGCTGGAGGTCAGCTGTGACCAGCAGTGCTGCAGGATTTGAAGAGGCATGAATGGAGGGTGAAAGAGAGAAATGTGCCAAGAGGAAGGCGCGTCAAGCCAACCCCGACTGAGACTGCCTTCCACCTGGAAACCAATGTGCTCACTGTGTGAGAAGATGCAGGTCAAGAATAGGGCTCCACAGCCACCTACGGATCCACAAGAATACAGATCATGGAAGACTATCCTATTCGTCCAACGAGGGATCGCCTAAGTAAAGTAATAGTTCACCTACATCTGGAGAGCACTGTGGACAGAAACAATGATAGATCTGGACCAAACTTGGAATGAATACTCAATAGGTCCAAATGTGAACACTGGTGGAGTTGGGGGGAAATAACCCTTGACCTTTGGGACTTGTAATTTCTGGGATTTATAGTTCATCTACAATCAAAGAGTATTCTGAATCCCACTGAAGATAGAACTGGGCCAAGTTTCCCACACAACTCCCATGCTTTGAATGGACTCGCTGGAGCTCCAGCCTCACATGCTCATTCGCCCACGCATGTGCACCACACAGCCGTGTGCCGAGCATGCCTGCTCTCCCCTCCCCACTTGGGTCTCAGAAACAGCCCTTCCCTTGGACGAGAGGCAGGCTAGTCGCAGCAGAGAAGGGCTTTTGGTGGAAGGATTCACCGGCTGTTTCCAAAAAGAACAGGTAGAGAGATCTTCAGCCTTCTCTGCCAAAGGGGTTCCTAAGACTATCACAAACATGTTTTCTGATTGTCTTTGGTGACCCCTCTGAAACTCCCATGAAACCCCCGGGTTGAGAAACATTGTTCTAGTTTCTCCAGGGCAATTTCCACCAGAAATTGACTCTAGGGCAGGCATGGGCGAACTTCGGCCCTCCAGGTGTTTTGGACTTCAACTCCCATAATTCCTAACAGCCGGTAGGCTGTTAGGAATTGTGGGAGTTGAAGTCCAAAACACCTGGAGGGCCGAAGTTCGCCCATGCCTGCCCTAGAATCACAATGGAGGGCCTAAAGATCCCTAGAGATAACACATCTTTAGGAATCCCAAAGTTCTGTTCAAATCTATGGGCAGCTTCCAGCAGAAGTTTATTGCAGAAGCATCCTGCAGGATTGCTGTTTCTGGAAAACAACAACAACTAGTGCAGGTGTTCTTTTTCTTTGCTACACTTGTTATATTTATCCTTTGTGTGTGCGTGTATGCGGAACAAGACGTCAATAGAGTAAGTCAATGGAGCGGTACTTCCAGGTGCTTGCATTATGGGAAGAACATGCAGGGCTCAGGACAAGAGAGTGTATATTCATCCATGGAAATACATCCCCACTTGATCAGAGCTCTAAATATTTCATCCTCATTTTGCATCCAATAGTTACTAAAGCAAACCTCAGAACGCTCACAGGATGTGTGCTGTTACTGCATGGTTATTTGCATATGGAAATTACGCCTACAGGTGATCTATACAGCAGGGATATCTGAATGTTGCCCGTAGCAAACATACTTGATATGCAAAATCTGTCCTAGGCAAAATGAAAGCTCAAGACTTTCCATGAACTATACATTTATATATTCCCCCCCAACCCCACAAAGGGCAAACTCTCAAAAATGTTTCTTTCTCCGTTGGAGGACGACTGGCTTGAGAGCCGTACGTGTGAAAAAGATCTTGGAGTCCTCATGGACAACAAGTTAAACATGAGCCAACAATGTGATGTGGCGGCAAAAAAAGCCAATGGGATTTTGGCCTGCATCAATAGGAGCATAGTGTCTAGATCTAGGGAAGTCATGCTACCCCTCTATTCCGCTTTGGTTAGACCACACCTGGAATATTGTGTCCAATTCTGGGCACCACAATTCAAGAGAGATATTGACAAGCTGGAATGTGTCCAGAGGAGGGCGACTAAAATGATCAAGGGTCTGGAGAACAAGCCTTATGAGGAGTGGCTTAAGGAGCCGGCCATGTTTAGCCTGAAGAAGAGAAGGCTGAGAGGAGATATGATAGCCATGTATAAATATGTGAGAGGAAGCCACAGGGAGGAGGGAGCAAGCTTGTTTTCTGCTTCCTTGGAGACTAGGACGCAGAACAATGGCTTCAAACTACAAGAGAGGAGATTACATCTGAACATGAGGAAGAACTTCCTGACTGTGAGAGCCGTTCAGCAGTGGAACTCTCTGCCCCGGAGTGTGGTGGAGGCTCCTTCTTTGGAAGCTTTTAAACAGAGGCTGGATGGCCATCTGTCAGGGGTGATTTGAAGGCAATATTCCTGCTTCTTGGCAGGGGGTTGGACTGGATGGCCCATGAGGTCTCTATGATTCTATGATGCCCTGCTGAGGAATATTGACCATGAAATTTTGTGGCATTTTGTGGAGAATTCTAGGTCAGATTCTGGCTCCCACAGCGTATCAGCTATTAGAAGTTACCTTTTTACTTGAGCAAGACCATTTGTCTATATAACTCAGGGATGGACCATTCCCACAACCTTTCCTCAAGGGCTTTAGTGGTGGGGGAATGACATGACGACAGCTCCCATCATCCCTCAATATAGACTCTGCTTACCAGGATGATGGGAGTTACAGACAACCTCCAGAGCAGTGGTCCTCAACTTGGGGTCCCCAAGTGTTTTGGCCTAGAAATCCTAGCCAGTGTACCAGCTGTTAGGATTTCTGAGAGTTGAAGGCCAAAACATCTGGGGACCCACAGGTTGAGGACCATTGGCCTAGAGAAATCCAGTCAATGGAACCTGATGCAGGCTGTATCCTACTCAACAGGCAACAGGCCTGCACTAGCCTTCTCTAATATTTTATTTATTTATTTATTTATTTATTTATTTATTTATTTATTTCGAACATTTTTACCCCGCCCTTCTCAACTCAGGGAGACTTCCAATTGGCAATAATTCAATGCCGCATCATAAGATACAAAATAGCAAATATAACAATTAAAAACATGAACATTAAGAAATAAAGATTAAACAGTATACTTACAATCCATTTAGCTATTGCCAGTCTGGTGGCTATTTATCTAGCCATATATTGATGATTACTCTGCTTAACTTATCCAAATCCACTTCCAAGCCATAGTCAAACATTATCAATTGTCCTTTAACCTAATTGCCCGAAGGCCTGGTCCCACAACCATGTTTTTACCTTCTTTCTAAAGGTGAGGAGGGATGACGTAACCTAATTTCCCCGGGAAGCGAATTCCACAGGTGGGGGGCTACCACCGAGAAGGCCCTGTCCCTCGTCCCCGCCAAATGTGTTTGAGACAAAGGCGGGGCCAAGAGCAGGGCCTCCCCAGAAGATTTTAAGCTCCGAGGTGGGACGTAGAAGGAAATACGTTTGGACAGGTACGCTGGACCGGAGCCGTATAGGGTTTTATAGGTCAAGACCAGCTCTAAACCTGGACCACACAGTAGAAGTTCCCCAGTTTAATCTCTAAGGCTAAACTAGGTGTTCCCTCTTCATTTAATAAACTCAGAAATAGGAATCAGAGACAAAGTTTGCACGAGAGCAACATTCATTTTACAATGCAGGTCGAGCATCCCTTATCTGAAATTCCAAATTCCAAAACCTTTTTACTATTACTATTATAATTTACTATATTTATATACCATCCCTCTCAGCCTGCAGGCGACTCGGGGCAGTTTACAGTTGGTACCAAGACTACCTTATCTAGATGAATTCACTAATGCCAATGTACTACCAGACACCTTAATGATGGCTCTTTAACGATAGTTCACTTACCTTAAATTTTGGATAGTCATTCATTATTATAGTCACCATTCCAACATATGGCAAAAACCTGAATGAAAACAAGAACACAAAAACGTAAGATCACTATATCTCAGCATAAAATGTCACTTCTGTTTTTCCACTATTGCAAGGATTAGAGCAACAGGGTCTCTCTGCATAAGTGGAAAGCCACAAATATTAATAAAAAACAAACAAGTTTTCTTTACTTGTCAGAACAATTCTCTAGGCATTTCTAGGTCCTCCAGCACAATATTATGATCGATCCCCACTGGACAATCGTGCTGGAGGACCTAGAAATGCCTAGCGCAATGGTTCTCAACCTGGGGTCCCCAGATGTTTGTGGCCTACAACTACCAGAAATCCCAGCCTGTTAACCAGCTGTTAGGATTTCTGGGAGTTGAAGGTCAAAAACATCTAGGGACCCCAGATTGAGAACCACTGGCCTAGCGGGAACATATGTTTTCAGATATGTATACAACAGCAGCAAAATCAGCAGTAAATAAACCTCAAATAACACAATTTTTGTTTCTGGATTATAAATGTCATTCCCTAATGGGTTCTATCATAAAAACATGCAAAAGATTTGTTAAACTGCAAAAACTTTGTTTTTTGCGGGACATCCTGCAGCACATTTTGTTACAGTTTTTCAATGAGTATCTCACTGAGCCTCAACCAATTCAATATAGTTTGTGGCAGCCACAAAAACAAAGTTTCTGGAGTACAATAACTATTTTCAAAGTACCTTCTACACAATTAAACAGGAAATTTCAATTTCAAGCCAGGAACAAAAAAAATTAAAATTTGTTACATAGTGTAATCAAATTGCCAAATGCTTGAGCTACAAATGTGGAGGAATGGCTGGAGTAAGCTAACGCGGATATAAAGAAAATGTTTTCCAAAATGTTCCTAGGGCCTTAGCATTTCTAAGCTGTAACAGTGTTTTACTGTTCTTTTAAAATTACGTTTTATAGATTCAGGGTAAGAAAATAAAATGGGGCAGACAACAAGATCCCACTCAGCCACAGCTCTCCAAAACATTAACGAGCAATGGCTCTCTGTTGGCAGAATGATATCAAAGGAAAGGCCAACCACTCCTCAAGTCATTGTGTTTCCAGCAGAAGCATCTGAGGCCCCCTTTAAAGGTAAAGGTTTCCCCTTGACATTAAGTCTAGTCGAGTTCAACTCTGCGGGGAGGTGCTCATCTCTATTTCTAAGCTGAAGAGCTGGCGTTGTCCGTAAACGCCTCCTAGGTCATGTGGCCAGCATGCCTGCATGGAGCGCTGCTACCTTCTTACCAAAGTGGTACTTATTGATCTACTCACATTTGCATGTTTTCAGACTATTCGGTTGGCAGAAGATGGGGTTAACAGTGGGAGCTCAGCCCATCCAGCAGATTTGAACTGCTGATCCTCTGGTCAGCAAGTTTTGCAGCTTAGCTGTTTAACCTGCTCTGCCACCGCAGTCCTGAGGCCCCTTCTATACTGACCTTATATCCCAGGATTACATAAGTCTCCACTGCCATATAATCTAGAATAAGAAGATAATCTGGGATTTGTAGAAGGGTCCAGAGAGAGGTGGCATGTTCTAAATTTTACTCCTTTTTTCTTTCTTTCTTTTTTTTTTTTGGTTTTATTTATAAATTTGTCAAACAAAATGTATAAGCATGCATTCTTCTCTCTTTTTGCAATATCTTAGACAAAATATTATATTATATACAACCTAATAGTAAAAGAAAAAAATATCAAAAACATATTTAAGCACATTTCTTATCATTATTTTTAAATTTCCATTACAACTTACACTACATACAACTCTATCACACACCTTTTATTCACTTATACACATTGTATTTCTTTATAATTATTATTATACTGCATAATTATACCAATAATTATACCAAATTTTACTCCTTTCCACCAAACAGGAAAAGACTTGGAGAAACAATAAGCTCTTAGTTGGCATTTCCCAGTAGCTAGAAACAAAAAGTAACAACCAATAGATATGTGGAAAGAGACAAAATTTCAGGCTGCTAAAAAACAAGATGATTGTTTTCTGAAAAACAGCCCTATGCGCTTCAGCCTGACTGGCAGTTGCCAGGCATATGCTTTGGAGACACTTTTTAAAAAATCCCCACATATTGATTTTAAAGTTCTAATTCCCTCAAGAAAGCCATAAATACATTTCCAGGTTGAAATGCTTTGGGCAGTCTTCAAGCATAAAATCATTTCTTTTTCAACATCCCGAGGCTTTGTCACATTTTCATATCATTTCCTAGAAATTTCCCCAAATTAGCCTGAAAATGGGAACGCTATTATTTCCATAAAGTGACAAAAATTAGAAAGGACAGACTATCCTGACTAGAAGGGGGGATGGGGACTCAGGATATTATTATTATTATTATTACTATTATTATTTGAAACACAACAAGATGAGTCCACAGCAGACACTCTACTGGCTGTTGTATTGGATCACACATCGGACACTTCCCAAGTGCCTAGGACTGTGTGGTGTATCGGCAAATAATGTGTTCAGATCCCAGTAAGGTGGCCTTTTGCAGCTGGCAGATGGTAATCTTGTCAGCGCTGATTGTGTTTAAGTGCAGGCCAAGGTCTTTAGGCACTGCACCCAGTGTGCTGATCACCACTGGGACCACCTTTACTGGTTGGTGCCAGAGTTTTTGCAGTTCGATCTTTAAATCCTTATATTGTGTCAGCTTTTCCAGTTGTTTCTCTTCAATCCTGCTGCCACCTGGGATTGCAACATTGACAATCCATACTTTGATGATGATGATGATGATGATTATATTTATTTATATTTCACTTTATCTCTCCTAAAGGAGAGATAGGCAACATTTGGAGAGGGATCTTGGCACTCCATGGCTTGGAGTGGACTTTCAGGCCAATAATTTTCACCCACTGAATGAAAGTCTGAGCAAAAATAAACATACACAAAAATGGAATTGTTTATGCAGCAACTAGCCGCCCCCCCCCCCCCCCCCCCGGTGGCCTAGCGTGTCAAACTTCTGAGCTGCTGAACTTGCTGACTGAAAGGTTGGCAGTTCGAATCCGGGGAGTGGCGTGAGTTCCCGTTAGCCCCAGCTTCTGCCAACCTAGCAGTTCGAAAACATGCAAATGTGAGTAGATCAATAGGTACCGCTTCTGTGGGAAAGTAACGGCGCTCCACGCATGACTTTGGAGGTGTCTTGGTTTAGAAATGGAGATGAGCAGCTCCCCCGAGAGTCGGACACAATCAGACTTAATGCCAGGGGAAAGCTTTACCCTTACCTATGCAGCAATCACATAGATCAAGATGAGAATTAAATTCTCATGTATAAAAGCACTGAGGCCCTAGCACTAAAAAGAGTATTAAAAAAGGAAACCTGGAAGTAAAAGACTAGCCAAAATATGTTTAGCTGTGTTTTCTGTCTAGATCAGTACTTTCCGCTGTGGAAAGCAGGTGTTATATACCAAACCCTTTGTGCGATTTCTCATTTTCCTGCTTCGGAGTCAACTACATGCTGACCTTCATTAGAGAGAGGGAAAAGCACACATTGTGCTGTTACTTACCCCCGTGCCCTGCCTACGACGTCCTTCTTTTCCAGCCAGTTCTGTCCTTCTTTGTACAAGCCTCTGTCATCAACGTCATTATTATCCCCCTTGGTCAGAAATTTGATGTTGCCATTTTCTCTGCAAACAAACAGCACAGCAAGACCATCAGCACCTCATTTTAAAGTCATGAAGCAAAATGTTTGCAAAATAAGAATAGGCAGGTCTAGGAGATAAGGTATCAACATGTACAAGCTGCCCTTTCTGTGTTTATGACAAGTATCATAGCATTTGGGCTTTTTAAAAAACTAATTTTACTCTTATTGACAGATCTAGACAACTATATTCTCCCTTGCTACGTTAATAATTGACTTCAGCCAAGCAGGCATAACAGTATCTATTTAAGATTATATTTATGGAGTAGATGAGACCTGTAAGAGCAATCAATTAATAACAACGACCTTGTCAGAAGACTACACAGAGAAGCCATTGAAATCCACAAGCATGTGGACAATTTCAACAAAAAGGATACAATGAAAATCCACAAAATCTGGCTATCAGTATTTTAAAAAAACCCAGTAAATACAGAACAACTCTCAGAAGACAGGGGAATTCCAGACAGGAAACTATTAGGGTCAGTTAACATCTCCCAACAAAGGATTTCACTGGGCAGGAAGCAGCCAGGCTTTGAAACTGCAAGGCTATTGAATGCTAATCAAGCTGGCCAACTGAAACATTCACACTTGCCTCAGGCACACAAGAGTTCTTTCTCCCTCCCTGGACATTATTCCACAGGTATAGAAACCTCACTTGCCTAGTTTCCAAAAGCAGTCAGCTGTGACCAGCAGTGCTGCAGAATTTGAAGAGGCACGAATGGAGGGCAAGAGAGAAACGTGCCAAAAGGAAGGCGCGTCAAGCCAACCCCGACCAGGACCGCCTCCCACCTGGAAAACGATGCCCTCACTGTGGGAGAAGATGCAGATCAAGAATAGGGCTCCACAGCCACCTACGGATTCACCCACAGGTTACCACTCTTGGAGAACCATCATCCTCAGACTATGAGGGATTGCCTAAGTAAGTAAGTAAGTAAGTAAGTAAGTTTCCAAAAGACCTCATAACTTCTGAGGAAGCCTGGCATAGATGTGGGCAAAAATCAGGAGAGAATGCTTCTGGAACATGTCCATACAGCCCAGAAAACTCACAGCAACCTAGAAATTAGTGTATTTGTCAGCTTGATAAATAGGCATATATGATAAAGAAATAAGCCAAAGAACAGCAAGCATTCTGCTGTCTAGAAAAAGGGAGCATTTTTCTTCTCAATTGACTGATGAAATAAAAAACTCTCAAAATTTGACAGATGTCTAAAATCACGAGTGCTTTGGGCAAAATGCAGAAGATGGGACTGAACCCATTCGTTAATGCGCAATGGCTAACAGTTAACAGCTCTAAAATTTCTGGAAGAACCATTGCCAAGTACATTTGCATATGAATGATCCTGGTTATACTATATTTCAGCTTCTCCAGGACTGGTCATGGATGCAGGGAGAGCATAAGACACCACCATAGGCCTTAGAGAAATGCTTCCAAAGTGAAAAGCACTGTGCCAGATGGCCAAACAGTGTGACTTCTTACACTAAATTCTTACATTCCTTCAGGTGTAGAAGAAGGCAGTATGATCTAGAAAGCAACAGGAGAGCCACTGTTGAGATTCCTGGGGCAATCAGATGGCCAGTGATGGAAAGACAACAGTAGATTACACAGATGTTCATAGAATCAGAGTTGGATGAAACTGCATGGGCCATTTAATCCAGCCCCCTGCCATGCAGGAAAAGCACATTCAAAGTATCCATGAAAGATAGCCATTCAGCCTCTGTCTAAAAAAGGCAGAGAGTTCAGCCTGATCCAGCAACACTATGTCACTTTGACAAGTATTATAGACCCAGGCGCATGTGGTCTATACTAACGACTCAAATACATGGCTGCAATCTCAAAGTCCCTTCCAGTGTTTCCTTTAATCAAATGACAGCCAAAGCAAACCAATTTCTTATATTCTTAGAGGCCAGACTTTAAAAATCCCAGAAATTCTGCCATAGTCAGCACCATCTTTTCCCCAAACTTTGCCTTTGGATATTAAATATGTAAATCATAAGCTAACTCAGTTATCTTCTCTTCGTTCCCCTGTCCTCAGGCTGCGTCTCCCAAGAGGGGTGACATCAGCAGACACAAAATCTCCACTCATATGACCTCTGTCTTCCAAAGTGTCAGACTGCATATCTATTTGCCTGCCTACCTATCTATGTGCCCGTGCTCAAACTTGGACACAATGCTCAGCACCATCTGCAGCACTCTAAAGGATTTGATGAGTATCTCTCTGCAATCTGGACTCCATTGGATATCCAATCACTTCCCTCAATGACAGATCTGCTTTCATCAGTAGAATGGGAAGCAGTTGATATCCACACACTAATCCCCAACATTTGGAGATTTGGGAGGTACAGAAGCTGCAAACAGATTTCTACTTGTATTACATTTCATTTTCCCTTCTACCATTTTGTGTGACCATTTCTAAGGAGAGTGACAAGAGAAGATCTTGATAACTGTATGGTAAAAAGGGGATTTTTTGGTCCGAGCCAGCTTGTCCAATGGCAAGGAATTCAGCAGTGGAACTCTCTGCCCCGGAGTGTGGTGGAGGCTCCTTCTTTGGAAGCTTTTAAACAGAGGCTGGATGGCCATCTGTCAGGGGTGATTTGAATGCAATATTCCTGCTTCTTGAAAGGGGGTTGGACTGGATGGCCCATGAGGTCTCTTCCAACTCTTTGATTCTATGAATTCTGCTAGTTGGAGACCAAAACAGACGGAGGGCTGCAGGCTGGGAAGCCTGGTCTTGATGCAGTTTCTACCTTTGCTAACCTCATGGTTTGCATGAACACAAAAACAGCAAATCTATCTAGGAGAACAATACTAGGAGAACAATACTAACAGGTCCACAAGAAAAAAAAGCAGAAAAACACATCCACAGTACAGAATTGCAGATTATTTACAAACCCAAGGAGGGAGACCAGGATTAGATACTCCCAGACTACAACTAATCACCCCTCTATTATTGTCAAAGGGATAAATTTGTGTTGTTGTTTATTTGTTCAGTCGCTTCCGGCTCTTCGTGACCTCCTGGACCAGCCCACACTAGAGCTCCCTGTTGGCCGTTGCCACCCCCAGCTCTTTCAAGGTCATGGCAGTCACTTCAAGGATAACATCTATCCATCTTGCCATTGGTTAGCCCCTCTTCTTTTTTCTTTCCATTTTCCCCAGTATCATTATCTTCTCCAAGCTTTTCTGTCTTCTCATTATGTGGCCAAAGTACTTCATCTATGACCCTAATATCCTTCTCTCAAATGAGCAGTTGGGCATTATTTCCTGGAGTATGGACAGGTTTGACCTTTTTTCGGTCCAAAGCATCCTCAGAATTTTCCTCCAACACCACAGTTCAAAAGCGTCTCTCTTCCTTTGCTCAGCCTTCCTTATGATCCAGCTCTCACATCCATAGGTAGCTACAGAGAATGCCATTGCTTTAACTATGCAGATCTTCACTGCCAGTGTGACGTCTCTACACTATTTTATCAACATTGGTAATTGCTCTCCTCCCAAGAAGTTATCTTCTGATTTCCTGGCTAGTCTGCATCTGCAGTAATCTTAGCTCCTAGAAATACAAAGTCTGTCACTGCCTCCACTTTTTCTTCCTCTATTTGCCCGTTATCAATCAGTCTGGTTGTCACCATCTTGGTTTTTTAATGCTTAACTCAACTCAACTTTTGCACTTTCTTCTTTCACCTTGGTTAGAAGGCTCCTCAACTCCTCCCCACTTTCAGCCATCAGAGCGGTATCATCTGCATATCTCGCTGAAACACCTTAGCAAGCAAGAGTCCAAAAGTGGCAGGCTCAAACCCAGAACCTCAATCAGTGGCTGATACCAAATGAGAGACTACCTCCTGGGCACACAGAAAACTGGGCGACTTGGAAGGCACTGAACAGACTGCGCTCTGGCACCACGAGATGCAGAGCCAACCTTAGGAAATGGGGCTACAAAGTAGAATCCACGACATGCGAGTGTGGAGAAGAGCAAACCACTGACCACCTGCTGCAATGCAACCTGAGCCCTGCTACATGCACAATGGAGGACCTTCTTATAGTAACACCAGAAGCACTCCAAGTGGCCAGCTACTGATCAAAGGACATCTAATCAACTACCAAGCTTGCAAACTTTGTGTTTTGTCTGTTTGTTTGTTAAAAAATGCAATACAACTGTTTGGTTTGCTCCTGATACGATAAATAAATAAATCTGCATATCTAAGGTTGTTCATGTTTAATTCAGCCATTTTAACTCCAGCCTTGGATTCATCAAGCCCCACATGTTGAATGATGTGTTTTTCATACACGTTGAATAGGTTGGGTGAGAGGACACAGCCCTGCCATACTCCTTTCCCAATCTTGAACTAGTCTGTTGTTCTGTGGCCTGTTCTTACTTGGTCGTTATACAGATTCCTCAGAAGACAGAAAAGGTGACTTGGTATCCCCATACCACTAAGAACTTGCCACAATTTATTATGATCCACACAAAAGCTTTAGAATAGTCAATAAATTTAGTAGTTTAAATAATTACTAAGAAGTTCCTGCTCTAAGGTTTTTACCCCATCTAGATGAAGCATGGACAACTTTCAGCCTGTTAGGGCTACACCTCCTATTTTCTTTCAAAACTTGCTGTTGGCAAGGGCTGGTGGGAGATGCAGTCCACCAACATTTGGAGGATCAAACTTGCCTAGCCTGTTTTAAACCATTCTACAGCTAATAAACAAGCAAGATTTAAACAGAGGCTGGATGGCCATCTGTCAGGGGTGATTTGAATGCAATATTCCTGCTTCTTGGTAGGGGGTTGGACTGGATGGCCCATGTGGTCTCTTCCAACTCTTTGATTCTATGATTCTATAAGATCACAGCAGGTGAAAATACAGTTATTTTTGTTGTTATAATTATCATCATTTGTCATTACTTTTCATGAACCTTGATTACTCTGTGCACAATTGGAATATCTCTTCCTTCAACTTTAAAAACCACGATCTCCCCGGCCCTGATGGGGTCGTCTCTGAAGTTTGTCAAGAACAGCAGGTCTCCTCTGTGAAAGGCTGGCTCCATGCTGCCACTAGAAGTCAAAGGAAAAAATGCATCAAAGGGTTGATATTCTGATACTCCATACACTGAATGAACATTTATCAGAAAGGTTTACAAATTAAATGACTCCATAGTTACATTGGCTAAAAACAAAGAATAGGATGCCGCAAGCAAGTAGGCTCAATGCAAGATACAACATTAATCTAATACTTGACAAGAACCATATTTTGCATTCCAAGATACAGCAGTCTTCAATAAATTATTGATAAATCCATTTAAATTAATAGCATGAATGTCAATAGTAAAGAGTTGAATAGGGTTTTATACACAAAACCAGGGTTTAAGAAATAACTCACGGAGGAAAATAATTATATTGTGTGTTGTCGAAGGCTTTCATGGCTGGAATCACTGGGTTGCTGTGAGTTTTCTGGGCTGTAGGGCCATGATCCACAAGCATTCTCTCCTGGCATTTTGCCCACATCTATAGCAAACATCCTTAGAGGTTGTGAGGTCTGTTGCAAACTAAGCAAGTGAGGTTTACATATCTGTGGAATGTCCAGGGTGGGAGAAAGAACTCTTGTATGCTTGAGGCAAGTGTGTATGTTGCAACTGACCAGCTTGATTAGCATTGAATGGCCTTGCAGCTTCAAAGACTGACTGCTTCCTGCCTGGGGAATCCCTTGTTGGAAGGTGTTAGCTGGCCCTGATTGTTTCTTGCCTGGAATTCCTCTTTTGAGTGTTCCTCTTTATTTACTGTTCTGATTTTAATACTGTAGCAATGTTTTATTCGTGTTCATGGTTTCCTCCTTTCTGTTGAAATTGTCCACATGCTTGTGGATTTCAACGGCTTCTCTGTGTAGTCTGACATAGTGGTTATTAGAGTGGTCCAGCATTTCTGTTCTCAAATAATATGCTGTGTCCAGGTTGGTTAATCAGGTGTTCTGCTATGGCTGACTTCGCTGGTTGAAGTAGTCTGCATGCCTTACATTGTCCTTGATTCATGTTTGGGTGCTGTGTTTGGAAACACTCAGGGCCATTTAACACCTTCCAACAAAGGATTCCCTCAGGCTGGAAGCAGCCAGGCTTTGAAGCTGGAAGGCCACTCAATACTTACCAAGGTGGTCAACTGCAACATTCACACGTATCTCCAACAAATCTGAGTTCTTTCTCCCACCCTGGATATGCCAGATATATAAACCTCACTTGCATAGTTCCAACAGACCACACAACCTCTGAGGATGCCTGCCACAGATGTGGGCAAAATGTCAGGAGAGAATGCTTCTGGAACATGGCCACACAGTCCAGAACACTCAAAGCAACCCAATTATACTGTGGATCACCAACCCAGCCAGTTCCATCTTGTATTCTTTGCCCAGATGTGCCCCCCATTAACCTTACTATCAAAACCCACAAAATATAAAGAGACACTGGCACAGGAACCGCTCTGTTGTGTCTCAGACACAATTCAAATCCACTATCTGGGGTGGGTTAAGATAGAGGGGAATAACCCTCTCAAGAACTGGCAAGCTGTGTACATGACATCAATGAGTCCAAGCCAGGTTCAAGCCTTTTTTTTGTTTTGTTTTGGAAAAGCAAAATTATGATGTACTGCCTCTTTAAACCAAATCTCCTTTTACTCCAGGTGAATAGTATTAAATGGGCAGAGGACCCCATGCTTGGCAGTTCTTGTATACAAACCCATGCTGGAGTTTGTGAAGAAATAATAGTTGCCTTTGCTGCCTTTGGATTCTTATCCGTTTGTGAGTTTGTCTTATATTAATTGCAACAACAGACATTACAAAAATCTTGCGGCATAGTAGCGCATTTCCTTTGGATTTTGTTTTTCTCAATCTACGTCAACGTACACTGCAGTCTTGGGAAATCTTCCTCCCTCAAGCTAACTTCTTTCATAAGACTGTTGTGAGGAATCAACTCCCATGTGCGTTGGCCCCATCTTTCAGAAGGAAAAGTAGCATACATGTGTAATCAACACAATCTAAAATTGTGTTAGATCAATTATCAGGAGCAGCAGTATAAGGGTAGAATCCAAGAACAGAATTTCTCGCATCGAGAGACATACCTGAGTACTACTACAATGGGGCTCTCACTTCCGGTGATAACGATGAGGCCTTTCCAAATCATTAATGCCGAAGACACAATCATAGCAAAATTTAAAACTTGGTAATAGAGCTGCAAGGAAGTGAAAAGTTGCAGTTAGGAGAAACAGTAGATTTAAAACATGGCATAAAGAGAGGAGTCGTGTTTTGTGATGTTCTAACTCAATGTTTCTCAACCTGGGGGTCAGGACCCCAGGGGGGAGGGTCATGAGGAGGTGTCAAAGGGGGTCATCAAAGACCATCAAAAACATAGTATTTTCTGCTGGTCATGGGAGTTCTATGTGGGAAGTTTGGCCCAATTCTATCGTTGGTGGGGTTCTGCCTTCTACCCTAGCTCCTCTTTTATCCCCCCCGTTGTTTTTCCTCTCCTCCTATTTGTACCCAAAACTCCATATGTGGGAAGTTGGCCCAATTCTATCATTGGTGGGGTTCAGAATGCTCTTTGATTGTAGGTGAACTATAAATCCCAGAACTACAACTCCCATATGTCAAGGTCTGTTTCCCCAAACTCTCCCAGTGTTCACATTTGGGCATATTGAGTATTTGTGCCAAGTTTGGTCCAGATCCATCATTGTTTGAGTCCACAGTGCTCTCTGGATGTAGGTGAAATACAACTCCAAAACTCAAGGTCAATGCCCACCAAACCCTTCCAGTATTTTCTGTTGTCATGGGAGTTCTGTGTGCCAAGTTTGGTTCAATTCCATCGGTGGAGTTCAGAATGCTCTTTGATTGTAGGTGAACTATAAATCCCAGCAACTACAAATCCCAAATGACAAAATCAACCCCATCACTATTCAAATTTTGGGCATATTAGGTATTTGTGCCAAATTTGGTCCAGTGAATGAAAATACATCCTGCATATCAGATATTTACATTACGATTCATAACAGTAGCAAAATTACAGTTATAAAGTAGCAATAAAAATAATGTTATGGTTGGAGGTCACCACAGCATGAGGAACTGTATTAAAGGGTTGCAGCATTAGGAAGATTGAGAACCAATGTTCTAACTGTATGCCCTGAAGGTATGAATCCGGAAACACAACACACACAGGAACAGCTGCATTCCCAGTGAGTTTGCTCTAGCGCAGGCATAGGCAAACTTTGGCCCTCCAGATGTTTTGGATTTCAACTCCCACAATTCCTAACAGCCTCAGACCCCTTCCTTTCCCCCCGCAGCCGCTTAAGCGGCTGAGGGGGGAAAGGAAGGGGTCTGAGGCTGCTAGGAATTGTGGAACTTGAAGTTCAAAACATCTGGAGGGCCAAAGTTCAGCCATGCTTGCTCCAGCATGAAGTACTTGGATACTGAGCTTGTATATGTATTGGAGATTCCTAATCTTAAGAAACAAAAGCACTGGAATGTTGTCGAAAGCTTTCATGGCTGGGATCTTTGGGTTGCTGTAAGTTTTTTGGGTTGTATGGTCATGTTCTGGAACATGGCCAAACAGCCCGAAAAACTTACAGCAACCCAAAAGCATTGGAGTTCCAGGGGGTTCCAGGACATGAAATGACTCAGCCCCAGAACAATTTCGTCTGCCTCGTCATTGAAGCTCCCAGTCTCACTCGAAAAAATACCAGGGACATTGTTTACTATTTGCACCTATAGGGAAGCCTATTTATTGTTTGGCTGTTTCTTTTGAGCAAGCAGAAAAAGGGGCAGAAAGGGGTTCCTGAATTCTAAGATGTAACTGTGATAGATGCTTTATCTTCTGAGAAAACAGGGAGTTTTCGCAGCATCACGCATCTTCCCAGGGTGTCGTGTCTTTACAATGCGGCCAACAGCATGGCGGAGATGTGCAAAGTAGGACAATCAAAAACAGATTACCAGGAAGGGGGGACTAGCCAAACTACCACAAAAAAGGCACAAAGTAGATCAGCAGGTGGGAAAAGGAGGGCATTCAGCTTCTTCTACCTGCAAGGACTGACAGTACAGCATCTAAAACCAACGATGGCCCAGTTTCTCAGCTTTATTTTTTTTTTTTGAGCAGGCAAATAGTTAAAAGGGGAAACAAATAAAAACAAGTTATTCCCCTGACTTCTCAATATGAAAGCAACATGATTTGGGCACAGGCAGATCTCTGGACCATAATTCCCATCATCCATGACCACTGGTTTTGAGGGCTGAAACTCACAGGAGCTGTAGTCGAATATATCCAGAAGAAGCAATATTTGGGGAAGGGTGAAAGTGACTGTAAGCCAGCTGGCTTACAACAGCTGAAGAACTAGACAGTATTAATAGTAATAATGATAAACTTTATTTAAACTTTGCCACTATCTCCTGGAGGGACTCGGGGCAGCTCACAAAGCACTCAAAGGTGCAAATATGCAAAATACAAAAATCACAGAAACAATAACATAATAATAACAGCCAACATAAATATCTCACTTCATAAAATGAAGTAAAATCAATGGTAAAATCAATAAAATATGGCAATAGTTGCAAGTATAAACAGTAATCAATTTCTGGGTTCTTGTAGGCTTTTCGGACTATATGGCCATGTTCTAGAAGCATTATCTACTGACTAGGGCTGGGCGGTTTCGTTTCGTAATTTCGTAATTCGTTAAAAATTCGTTATTTTTTTTTATAACGAAGCGATATTGAACCATTCAGGAGCAACTAAAAAACGAAATGAATTTTTCCAATTCGTTTCGTAATTGTTTCGTTATTGATTCATTATTGATTTGTTATTGTTTCGTTATTATTTCCGCATGTCTGGTGCAAGTTTTAGGGTTGCTGTTTGTTTTCTCAGTGAAAAAAAATATTATCACAGCAACAGTCAACAACAGAGGGAGAGGGAAGCTTCAGAAGTTTTTTTAGCGTATTGCGCGATGGCGGCCGCCATTAACGAATCGATTCGTAAGCGATTCGTAATTGTTTCGTAATTGTTTTATGATTTCCGAAATTTCGTAAATATCGAACTTTTTTTAAGGAAAATTTCGGAATTCTTTTAAATAACGAAACGCAAAAAAACCCCTAAAAACAAATCGAGTTTAGAAACAAATTTTTCCGTGTTTGGACAGCCCTACTACTGACGTTTCACCTGCATCTATGGCAAGCGTCCTCAGAGGTTGTTGTTTCAAAATCATGAACATGTTCTTAAGACATCAATTTGGTTGAGTGAGGCTTCCTTCCCTTAACTATACTGAAACCTTAACATAATGAAACATTCTCTATGTCCTTATCTACACTTCTCCTGCCCCACTTCTGGCAAAGGATTCTTCTCTCAATGTTCTCTATGAGCCCTTTTCTTGTATTTCTCAGCATTTCTTTTGTCACATGAGCCTTTTTTCCCCCTGAAGACAGTCTTGGGCATCTTCTGGAGAGTAGAGGCAGCAATGTCTATGTAAATGGAAAAAGCCTCTAGCACTCAGATTTTAAATAAGATAGAAGAAAAGAAAGTGGGACCTCTGAAGCAACGTTTTTCATCTCCAGATAATAAGATTTATTACTATTTTCTTTCGCTTGTGTGTGTCATGTTTTTTTATTATCATAAGCCAGAGGGCAGGGTATTATTAAATTAACAGGTGTTAAGCACCATAAATATGGATGGTATCAATATATAAATGAACTATTATTATTATTATTATTATTACTTTATTTGTACCCCGCTAGCATCTCCCGTAGGACTCGATGCGGTTCACACAGGCCGAAGCCTCAAAACACAGTACAACAGAACATAATACAACAGCAATACCAGAAGCAAATCAAAACAGTTAAGCAAAATAAACAACAACAGTAATAGTACATCAGGACACTTTAAAACTGGGCCGGCCAGAGCAGTGGGTACAGGAATTAAAAGTGCTGAAGTGGCAGGAGGAATGTAGGATTATAAAATAAGTGCGGTGTGCAGCGATCTCAATTCTACTAAAGTGCTTCTAGGACTTGGTGATCTATATAGTGATCAAGTATTTTCCGTGACTCCCCCTATCCTTTTTCTACATCCTTCCTATGAAACCGACAACTACCAACAACTACACCCTTCAATATTTCACCAATCAACCATCTCCTGCATGGCCAAGCTGGTCAGTGATTCATGGAGAAGAGCACACAAGCTACAAGAGGCTGAAGCAGCAATTTGCTTTTGATATCTAAATCTATAAGAAGAGCAAAACTTAACTACCACTTCTCCTCTTCCCTTGCTGAGTTAACTGAATGTAATCTGCTCTTATACTTTGAAATCTGCTTGCAGCAACTGAAGTAAACCGAGAACAAAAGCAACAACAACAATAGTATAAAAATGTAGACCGCCCTATCTCCCTAAAGGGACTCAGGGCAGTTTCCCATATGTATGGCAAACTTCCAATGCCAAAAGGGAAGACATATAAACAAATTACATCAGGACACACCACATCAAGCCTAATATAAATTAAGCTTGATGTGGTGTGTCCTGCGTAATGCTTAACAGAATGCTTCATATAAATTTACAACTAGATAAAAAACATCTAAGAAAAATAGCTAAAACCTTATAAAAAGATGACATAATAGTGAGAGGAGAAAAAAACTGGGACACTTCAAAAGCAATTGAAAAAAAACGGAATGGCAGATAATTAATCGGGACTGTCTCTGCCAAATTGGGACAGTTGGAGAGTACAAAAAAATTGTTATGCCTATGATACCTGAAGATTTTGAATGGAAAGGCTTTAAGAGTATGCTGGATTATTTTAATAGCATCATTTTTAAACAGAATATTGCAATTGCATGTTTTTAATTGTTTTTGATGTTCTTAATTGTCTATTCTATTTTTAACATTCATCTTTTGTACTTTTAAACTACAGCATATATTAAACTACATAATTTGAACACCACCCGGATTGCTTTTTTGGAGAAAGGTGGAGTATTATTAAAGATAATGAGAGAGAAACTACTTTACTACAACTGGCAACTTTCTGCCAAGTCTTGCAACCCATTGAAGGGAAAGAGATTTTACACAAAAGATGTTAAATCAAAACCCCTGTCATTTTCATAAGCATTTATGTTGTTACAGCTTCCAAGCAATGAAATTATCTACCGTCTCCCTCCAAAGAAGTGACAGACTTTATCATCAGCTTCGTGGACAGGCCAATTCTTACATCAATGTTTGAGGTTGTGAAGCATATGCATATAAATAGTGATTTAACAAGCTCCCATTAATTTATTTGGTGTATTCTACCCAAGACCAATAACACAGCTGAACCACACAGAAAAATGTTTTCATGGTATTGTAGGCCTGTTCCTGAGGTTATCTGAGGCGCTGATTTGGAAAACTGCATTGGATAGACCACATCAGTTATAGCTTCGTAGATACGGTTATCATGATTCTTTATGGATTAACGGATGGCGACTGATATATGGCATATGTTCTGCTTCTCAAAACCTAGAGCTGATAGAAAAAAACTGGTACCATTTTTTGAACCAGCAGGTCAAATACACCCATAAACAATCTAACATTTAAGGCACCAAACTGTGTGTTGGCCAGTGTAATTGAATTGCGGCTACATCACCCATATTACCATGGATATAATGGTCTTCTCTGGCTGGGACTAACAAATGACTTTAGGCTCCAACTCCCAACCTTTATCAAAGTGTTGGTTTAAGTATAAACCAACACTGCATTATAAGATTTTTTATTCAAAGATTTCCCTGACTGAACAACTAACAACTTGTTTTGAGATATATATTATGTTGATATCGTTAACGTTTGTGCATTGCTCAGAGTAATTTTCTTAAACACTGAGCTGCTTATAAATATATTAAATACATGAACCAACCCAGACATCTCACTGCAAGCAACACAGGCCCCTTCTACACTGCCAGATTATTTGCTTTGAACTGGATTATATGGCAGTGTAAACACATATAATCCAGTTCAAAGTAGATAATGTGGATTAACATCTTTGATAATCTGGATTATATGGCAGTGTGGAAGGGGCTACAAACAGGCAGTGAAGCCAAGATGCATGCTTTTCTTTTACCTGGCGCTTGTTCATTCGCCGCAGGTCTCCAAATATATCCATGGCTGGAGCTTTCCGAGGCTGAAAATGACAAAAAAAGAGAAATCATTAGTATTGTTACAATTATTATAATTATATTTAAAGTGTAAAGGAGTTCCAGGATTAAATTTATCTAGAAAAAAGGGGGACAGAATATTATTAGTAGTAATAGTAGTATTCAGAGGAATAGGAGTTCCAGGATTAAAATATTTATAGACTAGGAAAGACAGAAAAATATTATTATTATTAGTAGTAGTAGTAGTAGTAGTACACAGAGTAATAGTAGTTCCAGGATTAAAATATCAAAGCTAGAAAAGACAGAAAAAAGAATTATTATTATTATAAAATAATAATAGTAGATAATTAATATTAGATAATAGTAGATAATATTATGTAATACAATATAACAGTAATAATACAAACTGTGCCATCAGTTGGGAGCCCTCCCCCCAGCACCAACTGCTGCTCTGGGACCAGAGTGAAGAGAGGGGCCAGGATGACAGTTCCACCTTGTCTCCTGCACTGTGCTAATAATATAATATATTGTATATACATATAATATTGATAATATTATAATGTAATACAATATAATAATAATACAATATTATAATTATATATTTTATATTACATGTAATATTACTAATAATATTACAGTATAATGGTATAGTACAATATAGTAATATATAATACTAATATTGTGCTATGGTAATAATATAATATATTGTATTTACATATTACTTGTAAGCTGCTCTGAGTCCCCTTGGGGTGAGAAGGGTGGCATATAAATGTCGTAAATACATATATAATATATTACATGTACTATTACTAATCATATTGGAGTACAGGTATAGTACAATATACTAATATATAATACTGATATTGTGCTATGCTTTATTTATCGTGTCATCAGCAACCAGACCATTGTATTACATTTCTAACAGAACAAAACAAACAAACAGATAAAAACCCACAAATTTTGCAAACTTGGTAGTTGATTAAATGTCCTTTGACCAGTATCTGGCCACTTGGAGTGCCTCTGGCGTTGCTGCAAGAAGGTCCTTCATCGTGCATGTAGCAGGGCTCAGGTTGCATTGCAGCAGGTGGTCTGTGGTTTGCTCTTCTCCAAACTCGCATGTTGTGGATTCAACTTTGTAGCCCCATTTCTTAAGATTGGCTCTGTATCTCGTGGTGCCAGAGCGCAGTCTGTTCAGCGCCTTCCAAGTCGCCCAGTCTTCTGTGTGCCCAGGGGGGAGTCTCTCATTTGGTATCAGCCACCGATTGAGATTCTGGGTTTGAGCCTGCCACTTTTGGACTCTCGCTTGCTGAGGTGTTCCAGCGAGTGTCTCTGTAGATCTTAGAAAACTATTTCTTGATTTAAGTCGTTGACGTGCTGGCTGATACCCAAACAGGGGATGAGCTGGAGATGTCACTGCCTTGGTCCTTTCACTATTGGCTGCTACTTCCCGGCGGATGTCAGGTGGTGCAACACCGGCTAAGCAGTGTAATTTCTCCAGTGGTGTAGGGCGCAGACACCCCGTGATAATGCGGCATGTCTCATTAAGAGCCACATCCACTGTTTTAGTGTGGTGAGATGTGTTCCACACTGGGCATGCGTACTCAGCAGCAGAGTACATTGTTGTTCATTCGTTCAGTCGTCTCCGACTCTTCATGGACCTCATGGACCAGCCCACGCCAGAGCTCCCTGTCGGCCGTCACCACCCCCAGCTCCTTCAAGGTCAGTCCAGTCACTTCAAGGATGCCATCCATCCATCTTGCCCTTGGTCGGCCCCTCTTCCTTTTGCCTTCCACTTTCCCCAGCATAATTGTCTTCCCTAGGCTTTGCTGTCTCCTCATGATGTGGCCAAAGTACTTCAACTTTGTCTCTAGTATCCTTCCCTCCAGTGAGCAGTCGGGCTTTATTTCCTGGAGGATGGACTGGTTGGATCTTCTCGCAGTCCAAGGCACTCTCAGAACTTTCCTCCAACACCACAGCTCAAAAGCATCCATCTTCCTTCGCTCAGCCTTCCCTAAGGTCCAGCTCTCACATCCGTAGGTTACTACAGGGAATACCATGGCTTTGACTAGGCGGATCTTTGTTGCCAGTCTGATGTCTCTACTCTTTACTATTTTATCGAGATGGGACATTGCTCTCCTCCCAAGAAGTAAGCGTCTTCTGATTTCCTGGCCGCAGTCTGCATCTGCAGTAATCTTTGCACCTAGAAATACAAAGTCTGTCACGGCCTCCACATTTTCTCCCTCTATTTTCCAGTTGATCATTCTTGTTGCCATAATCTTGGTTTTTTTGATGTTTAGCTGCAGCCCAGCTTTTGCGCTTTCTTCTTTCACCTTGATTAGAAGGCTCCTCAGCTCCTCCTCGCTTTCAGCCATCCGAATGGTGTCATCTGCAAATCTGAGGTTGTTAATGTTTCTTCCAGCAATTTTCACCCCAGTTTTGCATTCATCCAGCCCCGCACATCGCATGATGTGTTCTGCATACAAGTTAAAAAGGTTGGGTGAGAGTATGCAGCCTTGCCGTACGCCTTTCCCAATCTTGAACCAGTCTGTTGTTCCATGGTCAGTTCTTACTGTTGCTACTTGGTCCTTGTACAGATTTCTCAGGAGAGAGACAAGGTGGCTTAGAACTCGCCACAATTTATTATGATCCACACAGTCAAAGGCTTTAGAATAGTCAATGAAGCAGAAGTAGATGTTTTTCTGAAACTCCCTGCCTTTCTCCATTATCCAGCGGATATTGGCAATCTGGTCTCTCGTTCCTCTGCGAGAGGAACAAGAGACCTCTCTCGTTCTATTGGCAATCTGGTCTCTCGTTCCTCTGCGAGAGGAACGAGAGACCAAAATATAGTAATAGTACAATATTATAATTATCTATTTTATATTACATGTAATATTACTAAGAATATTACAGTATAATGGTATAGTACAATATAGTAATATATAATACTAATATTGTGCTATGGGAATAATATAATGTATTGTATTTACATATTACTTGTAAGCCGCTCTGAGTCCCCTTCGGTGTGAGAAGGGCAGCATATAAATGTCGTAAATACATATATATTACATGTACTATTACTAATCATATTGGAGTACAGGTATAGTACAATATACTAATATATAATACTGATATTGTGCTATGCTAATAATATATTGTATGTACATATAACTTATAAGCCACTGAATCCCCTTTAGGGTGAGAAGGGCAGGATATAAATGTTATAAATAAATACATAAATAAATAATATATTGCATGTACTATTACTAATCATATTGCAGTACACAGGTATAGTACAATATACTAATTTATAATACTGATATTGTGCTATTATTATTATTATTATTATTATTAAACTTCATTTGTACCCCGCTAGCATCTCCCGAAGGATTTGATGCGGCTTACACAGGCCGAGGCCTCAACAACACAACATAACAATACAATCTAAGCAAATCAAACAATTAAAAACAGAATAAAGCAAAGTAAACAACAGGCACAATACACTAAAACACAATAAAACTGGGCCGGGCCAAAAGGTGGGTACAAGGATTAAAAGTGCTGATGTGACAGGAGGTGTATAAAGGGCTTCTAGGGCAAGTGCGGTATGCAACAATCATTGGTTCTGATAAAGTGCTTATGGGATGCTAATAATATAATAATATAATATATTGTATGTACATATAACTTATAAGCCGCTGAGACCCCTTCCGGGTGAGAAGAGCAGGATATAAATGTTGTAAATAAATACATAAATAAATAATATATTGAATGTACTATTACTAATCATATCGGAGTACACTGGTATAGTACAATATACTAATATATAATACTGATATTGTGCTATGCTAATAATATAATATATTGTATGTACATATAACTTAGAAGCCGCTGAGTCCCCTTCCGGGTGAGAAGAGCAGGATATAAATGTAGGCCACAGCAACGCGTGGCAGGGCACAGCTAGTAAATAAATAAATAATATATTGCATGTACTATTACTAATCATATTGCAGTACACTGGTATAGTACAATACACTAATATATAATATTAATATTGTGCTATGCCAATAATATAATATATTGCTTGTAAGCTGCTGAGTCCCCTTCAGGGTGAGATATAAATGTTGTAAATAAATACATAAATAAACAGTAGTACATACAGTAATAAGGAGTTCCAGGATTAAAATATCTAGGATAGGAAAGAGAGCAATTAGTACACATATTTATTATTATTATCATCATTATACCATGATTTCTGTCTTAATACAACATAATTAAATATTGCAGCCAAAGGTGGCGGACATCCATCCAGTCGGTGAAAACAAGACCTGGGGCTGACTGTAGCTCAGATCACGAACTTCTTATTGCTCAATTTAGAATAAAACTAAAGAGATCAGGGAAAATACACAGACCAGTTAGATATGATCTCACTAACATTCCTAGCAAATATTCAGTGGAAGTGAAGAACAGATTTTGAAGGACTAGATTTAGTAAACAGAGTCCCAGAAGAACTATGGACAGAAGTCTGCGATATTGTTCAGGAGGCGGCAACAAAGTACGTCCCAAAGAAAAAGAAAACCAAGAAGGCAAAATGGTTGTCTGCTGAGACACTGGAAGTAGCCCAAGAAAGGAGGAAAAAGCAAAAGGAAACAGGGATAAGGGGAGATATGCCCAGTTAAATGCGCAATTCCAGAGGTTAGCCAGAAGAGATAAGGAACTATTTTTAAATAAGCAATGCATGGAAGTGGAAGAAGACAACAGAATAGGAAGGACAAGAGACCTCCTCCAGAAAATTAGAAACATTGGAGGTAAATTTCAGGCAAAAATTGGTATGATAAGAAACAAAGATGGCAGGGACCTAACAGAAGCTGAAGAGATCAAGAGAATGTGGCGAGACTATACAGAAGATCTGTATAGGAAGGATAATAATATCGAGGATAGTTTTGACGGTGTGGTGAATGAATTAGAACCAGACATCCTGAGGAGTGAGGTTGAATGGGCCTTAAGAAGCATTGCTAACAACAAGGCAGCAGGAGATGACGGGATCCCAGCTGAACTGTTTAAAATCTTAAAAGATGATGATGTCAAGGTGATGCATGCCATTTGCCAGCAAATATGGAAAACACAAGAATGGCCATCAGACTGGAAAAAATCAACTTATATCCCCATACCAAAAAAGGGAAATGCGAAAGACTGCTCAAACTTCCGTACAGTGGCCCTTATTTCTCATGCCAGTAAGGTAATGCTCAAGATCCTGCAAGGAAGACTCCAGCAATACATGGAGCAAGAGTTGCCAGATGTTCAAGCTGGGTTTAGAAAGGTAGAGGAACGAGAGACCAAATTGCCAATATCCGCTGGATAATGGAGAAAGGCAGGGAGTTTCAGAAAAACATCTACTTCTGCTTCATTGACTATTCTAAAGCCTTTGACTGTGTGGATCATAATAAATTGTGGCAAGTTCTTGGTGGGATGGGCATCCCAAGCCACCTTGTCTCTCTCTGAGGAATCTGTACAAGGACCAAGTAGCAACAGTAAGAACTGACCACGGAACAACAGAATGGTTCAAGATTGGGAAAGGCGTACGGCAAGGCTGCATCCTCTCACCCAACCTTTTTAACTTGTATGCAGAACACATCATGCGATGTGCGGGGCTGGATGAATGCAAAGATGGGGTGAAAATTGCTGGAAGAAACATTAACAACCTCAGATATGCAGATGACACCACTCTGATGGCCGAAAGCGAGGAGGAGATGAGGAGCCTTCTAATCAAGGTGAAAGAAGAAAGCGCAAAAGCCGGGTTGCAGCTAAACGTCAAAAAAACCAAGATTATGGCAACAAGAATGATTGACAACTGGCAAATAGAGGGAGAAACCGTGGAGGCCGTGACAGACTTTGTATTTCTAGGTGCAAAGATTACTGCAGATGCAGACTGTAGCCAGGAAATCAGAAGACGCTTACTTCTTGGGAGGAGAGCAATGTCCAATCTCGATAAAATAGTAAAGAGTAGAGACATCAGACTGGCAACAAAGATCCGCCTAGTCAAAGCCATGGTATTCCCTGTAGTAACCTACAGATGTGAGAGCTGGACCATAGGGAAGGCTGAGCGAAGGAAGATCGATGCTTTTGAGCTGTGGTGTTGGAGGAAAGTTCTGAGAGTGCCTTGGACTGCGAGAAGATCCAACCAGTCAATCCTCCAGGAAATAAAGCCCGACTGCTCACTGGAGGGAAAGATACTAGAGACAAAGTTGAAGTACTTTGGCCACATCATGAGGAGACAGGAAAGCCTAGAGAAGACAATTATGCTGGGGAAAGTGGAAGGCAAAAGGAAGAGGGGCCGACCAAGGGCAAGATGGATGGATGGCATCCTTGAAGTGACTGGACTGACCTTGAGGGAGCTGGGGGTGGTAACGGCCGACAGGGCAGCTCTGGCGTGGGCTGGTCCATGAGGTCACGAAGAGTCGGAGACGACTGAACGAATGAACAACAATAATTAAACATTGAATTATTGAAAACCCTGCAAATCCCATCCTAACCCTAAACCAGTGAGACTGAGCAACTGCAGCACCCATTATCCACCAGAATTGAAGAATTGATACCTTTCTTTCTACCAGCAATCAAGGATGAGGGGCATTTATGGCTACAGGCCTCCCCCAGTCGCCAGCCACTAGCCAGTGGGCTACTAAAAGCCTCTGGCCTCCACCGCAGTGCCTCCCTTCCTGCTCCCAAACACCATCCACACTCCCCAGGGCTGCCTGCCCAGGTGGGACAGAGAAAGACACGCATCTTAACCTAGGCCTCTGGGAAATGTAGTCCTGATACTCCCCTCGCGTAATAAGCCAAGCATTGCGCTCAAGTCTCAGGAAACTACATTACCCACAATGCCTTTCGCAGAACCGTTGGCCCATTGCCGTTTTGCGCTTGGGTGTCTTCGCACTGCCTGAAGCATTTCTCTTTCTCAATGAAGGAAATCGATACCGATAAGGAAGAGAGGCGCGTTTAAAAATAAATAAATAAAAAGAATTATGACAGAACTAGGACAAAAAGGTAGATATGGGTTCATGGGAAATACATTCAGATACGTGAGGCTGGCATTTCGCGGGGCAGCTAAGAGTTTGAGTGGCTCAGCCAAGCCGTGTACCTTCTTCATTGGCGATGCGGCGAGAAGGGGCGGGGCTTAGTCGAGATTGGCACGGCGGCGAGGGGGCGTGGCAAGGAGACTCGAAGGGGGCGGGGCCAAACAAGGGGGCGGGGCCAGAGCAGAAGGAAGAGGGATTTGGCGGGGTTGTGATGTGTGAATGCTTCTCAACCTTCCTAATGCAGTGGTGCTGCATCACCTTAATACAGTTCCTTATGTTGTGGTGACCCCCAACCATTAAATCATTTTTGTTGCTACTTCATAACTGTAATCTTGCTATTGTAATGAATTGTAATGTAAATATCTGATATGCAGAATGCATTTTCATTCACTGCACCAAATTTGGCACAAATAGGCCCAAATTTGAATACTGGTGGGGTTGCAGGTAATTTGGGAGTTGTTGTTGCAATCCAGAGCAGGGAACGAGGCCCTAAGATAACTATCCACCACACTTGACTGTGAAAAACAATCCTTTTTTATTGAAGAAAAATGGTTACAAAATAAAGGAAAAATGCAAGTCAAAAGCCACAGCAAAATCAGCAAACATGAATTAAAATGGACAAAGCAAAACCCAAAGCCACACTAAAATACTGGAACCTGTTAGCAATCCACTAACCGTACTTGATATCCTAGAAATCTTTCAAGACAATGGCCAGGGAAACCGGGAGAACTGCCAAGGTCTTCATCAATTCTGAAACGATGCCTGAACTGAGAAAGTCAGCCCGGCGGAAAGCAATTAAAGCCAAAGAATTGGTTCCGTGAACTGCCCTTCTGCTTTGAAGCCAATGTTTGTAATTCTTTAATTCGGGAAGATCTACGCAAGCTGAGTGATTTACTTCTGTCTTGCCAAATCTGGCCCCTTCTGTTGTCATTACACTTAACAGGTGCAGAAGGGAGGGAAAGGTCAAGGCTTCCCTCCAAAACATTCTCATGAACACTGGTACTTTCATTTTCCAAATCTACAGAAGTTCCTTCCTCACTAATTTCAGGAGCAATGGCATCAAGAGGTACATTACCATTAGTATCAGTAAATATATTTTCATTAGCATCAGGAGGAACAAACAGAGAATCAGGTTCAAGTTCAAACTCAGGCTGAACCCCAACACTTGTACTTGCTGGGAATTGTAATTCACCTACAATCAAAGAGCAGGTTGTTGTAGGTTTTTTCAGGCTATATGGTCATGTTCTAGAGGCATTTTCTCCTGACGTTTCGCGTGCATCTATGGCAAGCATCCTCAGAGGTAGTGAAGTCTGTTGGAACTAGGAAAGTGAGGTTTATATATCTGTGGAATGACCAGGGTGGGGCAAAGAACTCTTGTCTGTTGGAGCTAGGTGTGAATGTTTCAACTGACCACCTTGATTAGCATTTGATGGCCTGGTAGTTGTTTGGTGTGGCTTGTTTAGTGCCTGGGGCAATCTTTTGTTGAGAGGTGATTAGATGTGCCTGATTGTTTTCCCTCTGTTGTTTTGCTGTTGTAATTTTAGAGTTTTTTTAATACTGGTAGCCAGATTTTGTTCATTTTCATGGTTTCCTCCTTTCTGTTGAAATTGTCCACATGCTTGTGGATTTCAGTGGCTTCTCTGTGTAGTCTGGCATGGTTGTTAGAGTGGTCCAGAATTTCTGTGTTCTCAAATAATATGCTGTGCCCAGGTTGGTTCATCAGGTGCTCTGCTTTTGTAGCATTTATTTTGTTGTCTTTCATGTCATATTGTTGTACTTGTGCTACTGCTGTTAGCTGCCTTGAGTGCCATTTGTGGGAGAGGCAATATACAAATGAGCCAATGCGGTGTAATGGTTTGAGTGTTGGATCAGGACTATGGAGAGCAGGGTTCTAATCAGCCATGTAAACCCACTGTGTGAACCCGAACAAGTTATGATTTCTCAGCCTCAGAGGAATGCAAAGGCAAAGCTCCTCTGAACAAATCTTGCCAAGAAATCCCTGTCATACATTTGCCTTAGAATCACTGTTCTGCCCCCTGCTATCTAACTGCTTGGAAGGTGAACTAGTTGCACAGGGAACAATTGGAGGACACTTAGATAAACAGTCAACAAGAATTTAACCCCTTTCTCCTCCCAGGTCTAGACTGACACCCCCCCCCCCCCCCCCCCCCCCCCACACACCCCCCCCACACACACACACAACACACACAAAACTGTACATGAAATGCTAATCCCCTCTAACTAAAAAGGGCTGAAATAGGGGTAAACAGTGAGAGTCTTTACGGAGGCATGACAATCACCATACGTTGGAAACAACTTGATAGCACACAATAACAGCAATTATACAAATTTAAATAAGAGAGCATATAATAAAGAGGATTAGTGCTCTAACTCTCTCATCACATTTGCTTTCTTCTAGATGTTAGACATTCCCAGCTTCTAAAATGCATTTTTGTTTTGTCGCTGCTGGACCTGAAATGAAGTGCCTTTAAGAGAGGATGTATGGCTTGGATCCAGCGGGAAGCCAGAGGGCCCGAAAAGAAGCCTTTAGAGAAATTTTCCTTATTAAACAGTCTTTATGAGGCTAGAGCTTAAATATAACAGTCTTTTATTGATGAACAAACAGGAATTGTAAAGTTTTCTTAACAGTTTCTTAGCTCTTGCAATCTTGTTCACAGGGAACAGGCACTATCTTCAAAAACCTTGTTCAAAGGAAAATTCCCCTTTCTAGCTCCTCCCAGGCTGCTGTGAACCTAAACCTGACTGATTTGAATCCACTGCCAGCTGAACTGCATCTCAGAACCGAGTAGACGTACCAACAGGCCTGTAGTCACTTAGCTGCTTTGATGGTTAGAGCTGTTATTCCCTCCGGAATTCCTCAGGGCTGTAAGGCTGTTTCCCCGGAACCTTTGGGAATCTTTAGAGGCTCTCAAGACTGTTCTCCCCGGAAAGTCTTAAGGGACGAAGCCTTTGCACAGGAGGACGTCTGAATACATCCTCTGCATTGACTTCCTTTGCTGAGACTAACTGAAAGATGGCCCCTTCCCTCCAAAAAACCAAGAGAGGGGCGGGACCAGGGATCCTAACTATAATAGACAGGTGGTTTGCCCTACGATTGCAAACTATAACAGGAAGCCACCCTGCTGCAAAATCCCAAGCCTGGGATTGCAAACCAACATTTAATTCAAAGCAAATGAATTTGGAGCTCCTGGAACAGCTGTTCCAGAACAATTTTAGCCCACATTTTGAGCAGCAGCAGGTACTATAGTGTACTATGACAATTCTGAAAAATGTTTTGTAAATTCACTGATAGGATGGGCCAACGACTCTAAGTCCTTGATAGTTTTAACATGAAAAATGAATGAAATATGGAATGTTCATGGAAGATTTTTTAAAACATTCTCAAAGTTTGTCAAAAGTTTAATTCATGTAACTGGAAACAAATCTTAACATATCAGATGAACTGAATATAAGACCAGAAAAATGAAATATAAAGAGAAAAACATGAATAAGATAGGCTGAACATCTGGGTACCTGGATGCCTATATCTGTATTAGAGAAACCCCTTTGTGTAAATAACATTCTTAGCGTTTGTTAGCTCTGAATTTAATTAGTTGTTGTTTTCCCCAATTGTAGATTCATCATCAGGGGCTCGAACCAGAAGAGAGGAATAGATGTGTATACGGATATAGAGCCTGCAGCCGTCTTGCTTCGCTCCAGTCCTTGTAGACTTCTAGATGTTATTGCTACCCATATATCAAATGAAACAAGCCCTGTTTTGTCTCAAGGCTGTTTGCCTTCCTGAGAGCCATTCACTTTGGAATAGCTCGGAGCTTCAGTCAGAGCTGAAGAATGCTGGTTAACAGACAGAGCTATACAAACAATGTTTATTACATTTTGGCACCTCTGCAGAAGAAGAAACAAGATTGATACTTGTCCTGAAAAGCTTCCCTGAAGGAACATCCTGAGCAAACTCTTTTTTCGCCCATCCTTCCAGCTGTTTGTAGAAAATCATAAATCGCAATCCAGAATGCAAAAATTTCCTACTGCTTGCTATTAGAAGGATTCTTAATAAAAACTCTGCTAAACTGTGCAGTCTAATCCATGGAAACTATTCAAGCTGTCCAAAATAAAACTACCTGTGACCTACAAAACCAGCAGGTAGCTTTCCTCCTCAATTTTGTTTTCCTCAGACCTTCCAATAACCCAACAACCTCTTTCAAGCATATAAGTAAAGGCTAAGGTTTTCTCCTGATATTAAGTCTAGTTGTGCCGGACTCTGGGGAGTGGTGCTCATCTCCATTTCTAAGCCGAAGAGCTGGCATTGTCCATAGAGACCTCCAAGGTCATGTGGCCAGAATGACTGCATGGAGCTCTGTTACCTTCCCACAGAAGCGGTACCTATTGATCTACACACATTTGCATGTTTTCGAACTGCTAGCTTGGCAGAAGCTGGGCCTAACAGTGGGGACTCATCCCGCTCCTGGATTCAAACTGCCAACCTTTCAGTCAGCAAGGTGAGTGTATATATGAATGTTTATGAATGTATATAATTTGTGGAGGTGAATGTATATAATATGAATGCATATAATTTGTGGATGTCCATGGTGTCTTTAAAAAATTCAAATTAATTTGGGGAGAAACTTTCAAAGAAAAAAAAAGCAAGATAGTCCATCTTTCCCCCTCAAGCTCATATGAAAGAAAAGGGGCATTTCAGTTTTCAACTACCATGCATAA